CACACACCTTGGCATCCATCGCCTCCCGGCTCTACGCGCACGCCAGCCTGGAGAACCACGTCCGCCTGGCCGTGGTGAAGGTGGTGGCCCTGGGGGAGAAGGAGAAGGGGCTGGAGGTCAACAGGAACGCCGCCACCACCCTCAAGAACTTCTGCAAGTGGCAGCACCAGCACAACCGCCTCGACGACGACCACGACGAGCACTACGACGCCGCCATCCTCTTCACCCGCGAGGTAGGCATCGCCCCGACCGACGGCGACTTGGTGTCCCTCAAACGACGCGTCGTGGGGTGGCCGGGCTGCAGCGAGGCCAGGCTGGCGGCCCTCGGCCACGCTGCCACGCCTCGCCCGGCAGCTGCCTCCCTGCTCACGGCTTCGGCCTTTCCTCTGAGCTGTGGTGCAACTCAGGGACTGGCACCCACATGTGCAACTGCCGGGGATGGAAGAGGGGTTGACAGCCCGACAGAGTGTGTACGTGTTTGTGTGTGCCCCCTCCCCTGCAAGGTCATCCCCACCACGGGTACACAGTCACTGGTGCCAACGCAGTGCTGGGACGCCTGCCAGTGTGCAGAGGTGGTAACTTGCCTGATTGGGGGACTCGGTGGAGGCCACCTCACATATCTCTGCTGGAGAGATGACGTCGTGCCATCTTTCTTTCCCAGTGAGACATTTCACATGCAGCCCCTCTCTCTCCAGAGAGGAGGTTCAGGCAAAAAGGGCCAGTGGCCCTCCCTAGCCTCTATCAGTCCCCAGATAAACCTGCTAGTGAAAATGGTGGAGAACACCTTAAAAGTACATGCGACTTCCTTGTTGAGCGCGTTGAGATGCTATTTCCAGCAAGAATAGCTCCGCCGCACTGGAAGGCGGCAGCGCTTGTGGTTCAAGGGTAGGACGTAAATGCAAACCGCAGGTAAACAGAGCTGCAGAAATTGAGTGAGTTGGGCTGGTGGTAAGGGGATGCAGTCTCTTTCTTGTTCCCCAAGTGAAAAATAGATGTCGTCATCAACTGTGGGTCGGATCCGGCCGGCATTACCCATGCAGAGTTGTGCCTTGCTCCCTGCCCGCTTGTTAATTAATTGCATTGCCAGAGGTCGTTAAGGGACATTGCTCTAGTAGACATGTGGCCGAGTTTATGCAATGAACTTCTTCTGTAAGAATATCCCTTCAGCGGTTTGGGTTTGGTGTTTTCTTTTTCTCCCTTCCTCAAGTATGAAAAAAATAACTGCATGACTTTCCGTTCATTTGAGTTCTCCTGCTTTTCTACATCATAGGAGCCTGCCAAAAAGGATGCTTTGGATGGTTTGTGGAAGGAGTTGCTCCAGAAGGGGGAAAAAAAGCGCCTGGCTCGCTTTTATAGCTGTAAATAGTTGAAACATTAGGTTGTGTGTCAGTCAGGCATCACTTGTACAGAACGAGCTTTTTTTAGCAGTTTAAAGCCCATCGGTCCACTTTGCAGGCTTTCATTTTTTTATCATTATAATGTGAATTAAAGCAGGCTACCTAGGCAGGGTCAGAATGCTCTTGCTTTTTTGCTATAAACATCCTTTCTAAATGGCTTATTAATTAAGCCAGAGCCAGAATACGTCACTTTTCACTGAAAAGTGTTTTTCTCTGCCAGCGTTCCCATTTATTTCCCTGGGATTTATTACAATTCAGACACTCCTAGGGTGGCAGACTGTGAATCTTAACATCGATTATTAAATTAATTTAGATTAAGAGAGCATGTGAATTTAAAGTGCACTTACTTTACAGAAGCTTATCTGTAATTCTGTGCGTGGATGCACTCCTGCCAGAGTAAGAGTGTGCTGCTAATCAGTAATCCATTTTCAAAGACTCCTGAGCAATGCATCTTCCATGTGTAGAGTTAGTTCTTTTGGATGTAAGTAGTACCTAAACTAAACACAATGTCACAGTTCCTGTGGTCTCCTTCCACTCTTAAGATGCAAATATTGCTTGCACTGCTACTTAGTGTTGTAAATGCCTTGCAAGAAAAAAGCACAGGCTTCTGTTTTCTTGGTTTACATTTTAACACGTTTAACTATGGGATTAGCTCCTCAGTGCAATTCAGTATAACTTAATCTGCTTTAATGATTTGCTGTGTGCACACGCACATTGTTTGGCATTACATTTCAGTATTTGACTCAGTAAGAACAAGGCTGTAGTTTCTTGCTACATGTGTTCGTGATGTTCTCTGCAGGGAGTATGTGTGAGTCCACAAGATTTTTATATGCTTACACTGGAAATGTCAACATGAATCTATTTGCTCCTCTTGGAATGTAAACACGAAAAGGGTTAAAGGATGAAAAAGTAGTAGAGATGTTTCCCGGAGAAAACAGCCCCACTTTGAACTAAAGAGAGATTTTTTCCAGTTTAGCTTTTCAATGAGAGTGGCAGCAATTGGCAGGAGGATCCAAGTTTTACAACTGTGTTTTGAATGTATGAAGTACGTTGCTTAGCTACTAGACGCTAAGCCATGGCTGCGTGTTTTGATGGGCCCTGAATACCGTCATGCTAATTTTTGAACATCCAGATGTCTTCTTCTAAATGGCTTGGGTTTTAGGCATGGGGTAAATGTGTGAGGTACATTTTCCGTCTTTGTTTACTAACTGAGGCCACCTTCAACTTTGTGTCTCTGCGTCAACAGAGTAATATTTGCAAATCGTTTGTCAGCTGAACGCATGTCCTCAGCCGTATGTAACTGTTTATGTGTAGTTAGAATCTCAATTCTGCATGCCTGTTGCCATACAAGTCTCTAATGTAATAATTATCTTCGTTCTGAAGTGACATTTACTTGGATGTTACTTTTGACACTGAAAAAGACTCTGAAAAGGTAGTAGCTTTACTTGTGTTCCTTATAAAGGAAGAATCCCATCAGAATTCACTATCACTTCCTTCTCTTCTGTTGTCATTACTTGTTTAAAGATAAATTAATAACCATTGATAGACTAAGAGTGTGCTGGCAGCTCTCCCCTATTATAAAATTAGTACTGGCAGTTCAAATTACGATCTTCGTTCATACTAGGAAGTACTTCCCATGCAAAAGACTTTTAGAAGGAAATTTACTGTTTCTGGATTAAAACATCCACTCACTTTTGGTCATAATCTGTATTTGATTTGATAAGCGTTTTAAAGCAATCATGCTGCAGAGCATAGTAAATACTAAATAAATATGAACACAAGCTTAGTTTTGGGCAATACAGACAACATGTTAAAGCTATTTTACAGCTCTGTATTGCTTATCAGTGGTGTCAAGGACCATGTAACTATCCATTAGCTGCAGTGAAACCTACATTACTTTGTAACTGCAAGTAACTGTTACTACAGTAACATATCTGGTCATTATCAGTCTAGGAGATGGTGAAAACCTTCAGTAGCCACAGAAATTTTCTATCACAAAATATTGAAGAAATTTAGTTGGGTTCCACAGTGATTATTTAAATTCCCAAGATCTAATAAGAAGTATATTTTCCCAGTGGTCTCAATCTCTCATTTTGACTCACAGTGGCCAGTGTAATGCCTGACAGAGGTCTGACTTGTCAGTACCAAAAGGTGATAATTTTCCAGTAAACCCGGAGAGAGCTGTCTTTAGAGCGGCTTGGCTTTAGCAACCTTAGAGAATACACGTCCCCTGCTGTTCGACTACTTTGTGGTTGAATCCTTGACAGCAGCTGTAAATTTCTGGTCTGCATGCATCCTCAGAGCATCCTAAATGAAATATGATGATGCATGGATTCAATCATCTGGTGACCAGGTGAGTCCTCCGCCCCGTGCAATGGTGGAGAAGCAGCTGTTTGGTGGAAAGGAGGAAGAAATTTGTAAAGCCCTCTTCCCCTGGTGATTAGCTTGCCTCGTTCTCAATGGTAGTGAAGTCAATGCCAAATTTAGAATTTAGTCCGTTTCAGGCTTTTTTAGTCTGAAGAGTTCTCAGAAGCTGGAAACAGGTTACCTTCAGCTTTTTCTGGGTACAACAAAATACTTGCCAGATTATTTGTCACAGTAGAGAAACATATTAGACATGACTTGCAACCTGCACTTGAACTCAGTCTGTTCTTTTTTGAGGTCTAGCCTGCTCTGCAATTATCCTCTTGTATTCATCCAATCTATTTCATTAGTGACCCTTAGTTAAATTTCAAGTGAACTATTGAATGCATTTGGACAAAATCCAGTTCTCTTCCTTTCCTTTCCCCCCAATTCTGAATCATGTGAAAATTAAAATAGGTATTTCTCACAGTAGATACAGGCAGCAAGAGAAAAAAAAAAACACTTTCCTAAGTGCTTGTTAGCATCATCTGTGATAGTACCATCATGCCTGGCTCTAACACAAAAGTTCATATTAGAGCCAAAGGCCGCTAGCCTGCCTTTTTCCACACAGTGATTATATGGGTCTTGTGTGTGAGATTTAGTTTAACTGTCAGTCTGATAGTGCTGTTGAAATTTAACAGCAAGTTTTGGATTATCTCAGCTCTATGGATGATAATTTCTTTGCATAGAGCACATGCTTTCTTTGGCTCTAATTCCTTCTTCTTTTTTTCTTTTCTATAATATCATCTTCACACAATTATTATCCCATATTAGTAAAACCAGTCACTGCATCAATGGTCAATAGAATCTATTTCACTAATGTTTATTATTATTACTCTGAAGAAATTACAGTGTGATGTGTCTACCAGTTTTGTAGTGTTTTCACCAGTTTTGCTCGAAATCTAATACATTTAGATAATGTCCCTAGGGAAAATAAAGTGTGATATAATTTGAACAGAAGTAGTGGGATTCGCACTAATCTTCAGAGATGGCATGGAGTTTCCCAACAGAGAAACTGGAGGTTAGGCAAGTTAAATCACACATTCTTCCTTGTTCACTGATCACCAGTTTCATGACTGAAACTTTGTTTGCCTTCCCTTCCCCATGCAGAGTCCAAAAGCTTGATGTGCATTTTGTCAATATTTTAAAATAATCTGTGATTTTCTTAATGCTACTTTTTATTTATGTGCTTTAGGAAGGAAAGTTTTGTTAGTATGTACGTTCAGAGCATAAAAGCTTAATCCAGTTTAGGTTCTATTTCTAATTGTTGCAGTGCCCTGATGTGATGAGTGCCCAGGGTCCTCATACAATGTAAGGGGAGAGGGTAAGAACATGCTTAAATATCCAGTCTCCTGAGGAGGTAGTTTCTGAAGCCAGCAAATGTAGCATGCATGTACTTAAGTTAGACCAACAGGACATCACCCATAGATTGG